TTGAAGCCTCTTGGCTAAGTTGAGGTATGAGGTCATCTTAGTGTCTCGTGCTTGGTAGGAGCCTTGTATCTGATTCACCACCAGCTGTGAATTAGACTTGACTTCCAAATTCTTAATCCTCATTCCTTTGGCGAGGGAGAGGCCAGCTAACAATGCCTCATACTCGACCTCGTTGTTAGTTGCCTTGAAGTAGCACTGTATAGCCTGTTGCAAAATATCTCTTTCTGGGGAGGTGAGGACTAGTTTTAATTTGTTGCCATTGATTTTGTTTGAGCCATCTATTGATAGAGTCCACTTGGATGATGCATGGTCTATCAAACACAAGAGCTCCCTCTCCGCTTGGATAGAAATGCTAGGTGCGAAATCGATGATGAAGTCGACTAGCACTTGAGACTTGATTGCGGTACGAAGTTGGAAGGAGACATTAAACTTGCTCAGCTCTACTGCCCATTAAATGAGCCGACCCGAGAGATCTGGCTTGTGGAGTATCTTCTTTAGAGGATAGGAAGTCAAGACTATGATCAAGTGGCATTGGAAGTATGGCATTAGCTTCCGTGCGGAAGTGATTAGGGCGAGTGCCAGTTTCTCAAATTGGTTGTACCGTGTTTCTACATCGAGCAGGGATTTACTATGTAGTAGACAGGCAACTGCTTTCCTTTTTTCCTCTCAGATCAGCACGATGAATGTGGCGAATTTGGACACTACTAGATAGGTTAAGAGTCGTTTCCCTATCTTTGATTTGGAAAGTAATGGAGGTAATGTTAAATACCTTTTCAGATGAACCAATACCTCTTTGCATGTTATAGTCCATTTGAATTTCTTTGACTTTCTGAAAGCAGTGAAGAAGAGGTGGCACTTCTCCACCAACTTGGAGATGAACTGGCTCAACACTATTATTCTCCTAGTGAGGCGCTGTACATCTTTGATGCAAGTGGGAGATGGGATGCCTAAGACTGCCCTAATCTGAGTGGGAATAGCCTCGATGTCGCGTTGTGTTACATGTAGCTAGAAATTTGCTAGACGATACGTCAAAGAAGCATTTGGCGGATTCAACTTCATGTTGTATTTCCGTAGTACCTCGAAAGCCTGTCAAAGGTGGTCAAGGTATTGCTCGGCAATCAAGGACTTTAGCAGCATATCATCGATGTATACCTCCATGGAGTCCCCTAGCAGGTTAGAGAACCTTTTATTAACAAGTTGCTTGTGGGTGGAACCAGCATTCTTTAGGCCAAACGACATCACTTTATAACAGTAAATGCCTTGTTCGGTGATGAACGCAGTCTTCTACTGGTCGTCAAGGTGCATCAATATCTGATTGTAGCCTGAAAAGGCATCCATGAAGCTTAGTAGCTCATGCCCGACGGTGGCATCCACTAACATGTCTATGTGGGGGAGTGGGAAGGAGTCCTTGGGGCAAGCTTTGTTCAAGTCGGTGAAATTAATACAAACTTTGCACTTCCCATTCTTTTTCTTGACTACCACTACATTCGCCAACCAGTTTGGGTAGTGAACTTCCTGAAGCGAGCCATTGCTTAGTAGTTTTTCCGCCTCCTTATTGATCATCTTGTTTCTCTCGGGAGCAAACTTTCTTCTCTTCTGTCTTACGGGGAGTAGTCCAAGTCAGTGATCAGTTGGTGCATTATAGCTTTAAGATTGATCCCCGTCATGTTGGAGTGAGACTAAGCGAATGAGTCTAGGTTCTCCTTGAGGAAATCGATAAGCTTTTCTCGGATGTTAGGTGAAAGTTGGGCTTCAACTTGCATCTTTCGGTCTGGGTGCTTTGGGTGTATTTGGACCTCGTCTAGCTCCTCCATAACTTGTTGGTTCGGTTCAGCTTCTCTAGCCAGATGGGACTGTAATTGCTATATGGTGCCCCGCTTTGTCTTAAAAGCGTTCTGATAACAATCTTTGGAAGCCTTCTGATCTCCCTTTATCTTTTTTATGCCCCACTTGGTAGGGAATCAGATGGTCTGGTAGCAAGTGGAAGGGACAGATCGCATGCTATGAATCCAAGGTCAGCCGAGGATTACGTTATAAGGGGATGGGGTATCCAGTATCATGAAGGTAGTCTGATGGTTGATCTCTTCGGCATAACTATCTCTGATGGTATATTTTTATTCTGAATTGAATCCGAAAAGGAGAGTTGGGTGCCAATTGATGCTGGATTCGTCCAGTCCCATGACCTTAAATGCTTCAAGAAACATGATGTTAGCTAAGGAGCTAGGGTCTACCACGCTTCTCCTGACAATAATGTTGGCAACCTGGAGGGTGATCACAAGTGCATCGTGATGGGGATTCAGAAGTGCTGCTGCTTCGTTGTCCACAAACACTATAGTCAAGTTGGTAGCTTTCTATAAGGATGGCTTAGAATGATGGATCTGTGGGTTGGCTGTGGCTCGGGCATAGCGCTTTGTTGAGGAGTAGCTTACCCCATTTGTTTCTGATCCGCTTGAAATAACACTGCATAGTTTGTCTACAGGTGAGGCTTTTAGTGGGGGCTTGATTTGGCAATCTTTATTTGCCACGATGCTTTTCCCTTTGTCTAACAGGAAGTCGTGGAGGTGACCCATTTTTAGTAGTTCCGCTTCCTTGAGGCGAAGGGCAATATAGTTGGCGGTGACATGGTTGTGGTCCCTATGATACTCACACCATTTGGTGTTGTCTCGCTTGTCTTTGGCGTGTTTCAGTTTAGCCAGCCATCTAACTACATTCCCTATCTCTTTCATCATGGCTACCACTTCCACTGTTTCGATGTTCAGGTTGTAATCAGGCATCCTGTATCTGTTGGATCTGTTGGAGGTACCCTCGCTGGACCGAGCTAAGCGGTGCTCTAGTTGTCGCTTGTTATCACGTGTCGGAGCCCTTCTTACTGTGTATGGGTAGACTATCCTTGTGTCATGGCGTCTGTCAGAGCGACGGGAGCGATGATCATCATGGGCGTTTTGCTTGGCCCTATGAACTTCGTCTTCCTCCCACCTTATTTCAATCTAACCGTGGGCTAGTGCATCCTCCATGGTGTTGTAGTTGAACTTGGTGAGTTCCTTGTACAACTCGCCATTTGGGAGGAGTCTTTTCCTGAAGGCATCCACCGCGGTCTCTTGGTTGCAGTAAGGAATCGAGACCTTCTCACGATTGAAGCATCCCACATAGTCTTGGAGCGGCTCATTACGATGTTGCTAGATCTTGTAGAGATCGCCAAATAGTATTCCAGTTTTTTGCTGCTGGCGAATTGCTCCATGAAGGTGTCCATGAGCTGGGTGAAAGATGCGATTGAGTGATTTGGGAGGTTTGTGTACCATTGAAGTGTTGGTCCTACAACGTTGGAGTCAAAGCTCTTACACATGCATGCCTCGCAAAGGTCTCTAGGTATGGCAACGACGAACATTCCTTATTTGTAGGAGGCTATATGGTCTTTTGGGTCGGTGGTTCCATCATACAACTTCATGTTGGAGAAAGTGAATTTGCGCGACACTTCTGCTAGGGAGATGTTGTCTATGAATGGTGACTCGGCATAGCTTTGGGGTTGGCTCTTTTTTAGGGGTGTTGGTACACTTGGGATGCGTTGGATCATGGCCTCCATCTCAGTTAGCCACTTGGTAAGTGTTTGTTCGAGGGGTGTGGCCACAGGGTTATAGAGATTATTCAGGAATTGGGAAAATACTCTGGGATTGATATGTATCGTCGAGCGGCGTGGGAAGCTTTGCTGGGTTATGTCGGTCTCTAGGTGCATGGGATGTGTTTGGTGGGTAAAAATGGTGTTCAACAATGTGGGTAAGGTAGCTTGTGCAAGTGTTTCAGAGGCCGAGTGAGTGATGGGTGGAGTGGTGATGGCTCAGTTCGGTTCGGTTGGTGGCATAGTGGTTGTTGGAGCTTCAAGATGAGGGGGTCAGTGGAGACACCATTATCTGGGGTGAGGAATAGCTGTCTAGGTTGAATTGGGTGCCGGGAGGAGGATGCGTGATGTTGGTTAAGAGACCAATCTAAAAAGTAAAATTGGGTTACCTTATCTTGGAGAGCTTGGTTCTCCACGTGGATGGTGGCTTTCTAAGCTTCCAAGGCTTGATACTTGTTGTTGTTCTCTTCCACCAGTGTGGTGAGAGCTGTAATCTGTGCCGCGACATTAGGCACAGGGTTTCAATGTTGTGGGTCATGATAGTGAATGGGGAAGGAGGAGCAGTCTTAGCAGGTCGTTCTGAATTGAAAAATCTTCAAGGCCCCATAGTGGGCGCCAAATTGTAGACGATAAAATCTACTATTACAATTGTAAGGATCGAATCTTGTGATGCGAACCACTGACAATTTGGTAGACCTGCAGAGGCTGCCTTTGTGGTTGTGAGGACTTTAGTAATGCCAGGATATTACCAGAATATTCTGAGACCTTGAGTGTGAGACTATTAGAACTAGTAGGTGATTTTTTGAATGGCTAATGAGAGGGTTTGCATTTGTTTATATAGTGAACCCAAGGGGTTTGAATCCTAGTAAGACTCTAAGCCCTACTTGGTAGAGGAGTTCTCCTTTTGGAAGGGGATTAGATTTCCTACTTTTATCGGTTCAGGCTTTCTTCTTTGGGTAAGATCTGGGATCTTGTTAGAAGAGGAAATTGACTGAGACTCTGGTCCCTATTGTGGATTGTTATGGGCAAATAGGCCGGACCTAGTTTAGCTTAACTCATAGGATGACCCAACTCATAGAGTAGGCAGTTCACAAGGTAACTTTAAGTGTGGGCCCAATAGGAATTGGGCCAAGGCCTTAAGTCGTAACATGTTCATTTTGTTATTGGACCTCGTCAGGTCCAATACAATTTTTAGCCCATAATTATTCATTTCAATCAACAATAATTTTTCAATATACTATCATTTCAAGTCATAAATCAACTGTAAGTAACCAAGATTTAATAAAATTAAAAATTATAAAAAAAAAAAAAACACAAACCAATATTAAAAACAAACAGTTAAAGTTCATGCTAACCTTGGATTTTGACTTTTTGGAAGCTTTCTTATCTACTTCTTCTTTTTAGCATCTTGATTCTTCCAACTAAAGCAGTAAGTAATGAATGTTAAAACCAAAACAAATAAAACAAATTTATATATAGTGTTGAGATGGTAAAACCAACCTAAACAAAATGAAGATAATGTTTGTTAAACAACCTCAAAGTCTCATTCACTTTAGCATGGTCACTTTTTTTAGCCAAGTTTACAACATGATCATTTTTATTAGCCAAGTTTAGAGCATTACCATTCACAGAGTTGTAAACCATATGGTAATAGTTGGTTGAACAACTTGAGAAATCATATAGATATTCGAAAATGAAAATATAAATTCATATGAAAACTAGAAATAGCCAAACATGTGAAATATAGATATAGGAAACCAAAGGTAAAACCTGTGGAACAGGTTCCTCCTACCCCACAATTCAGCAGAGATCTAGCCTAAAACATTGAGCACATAAATGAAGCTATATTATGTAAATTTCAATGAAAACTACGAAGAAAACATATTTACATCAATGATAGATAGACATATGGTCCACACAAATCAATATATTACCATCCAACATTATTGTAATACTTTCTCTCTAGCTAGTATACTCTGAAAATAAACAGTATTATAAGAATATATATATATATATATATAGATGAGTGTGAAATAATGGGCCATATCTAATTTTTCTTTATATACAAATCTTTACATAATATAATAAAGTCACAAAACAGTAACTCGATAGTGTTGCCAAACCCTTCCTCTTCTTGACGTTCTAAGCGACTGCATCTCACCTACTACCTACAAAAACATTGAAAACAACGGGGTGAGCACTAATTGCTTAGTAAGTAAACCCGCTATGCTACCCTTCTCTCTCCGTTGCTTAAATTCTGAATTTCTTTCCTTAAATCACACCTCTCTATTCTTCTATGTTCCTTGTATGTTCTTTCTCTGCTTTTTCTCTGCTTTTTCCTCTATTTTCTCTCAATTTCTAATTTCTCACTACTCATGATAGTAGGCATGGTATCATGCATAGGTATAATGCAATGCACAAATGCATAGGATGTGCATTTTCTTTTCTGTTTTTTCTATTTTCTTATTCCATTTTCTATTTCTTTTCTCTGTATTTCTTTCTATGCTTCATTTCTTTCTTTTCTATTCTTTCTTTTCTTTTCTTTTTTTCTTTCTCTTCGTTCTTCTCTTTTCTATTCTTTCTTTCTATTCTTTCTTTTCTTTTCTTTCTTTCTTGCCGACCGGACTTGGTTGAGGCATGGATTTGGAACCCTAACCGTGTGAGTGTATTCTCTAATTCTAGGTAGAATCCTCATCCACATGCACTTCTAACGGACTGTACAATTCTTCTTTCTGATTTTGAGGCCGCTCACTAAAGGCGACGTGCATGCGGGGCTATGTCACTCACAGATTCCCCATCGCAACAACCTTCTCTTCTTTTATCTTTTTACACTTCTTTAAATAAAATTTCAGATTTGAACTTCTTCAATATTCTTATTTCTTTCTATTTGCTCTTTAATGTTCTTTAATGCTTTTTAATGCTCTTATGAGTATGTATGCATGTAGATGGACTCATGCTTATTATTCTTTCTAAATTCACATGTTTGGATGCAATAATGCAATATGGAGTGTAAACATATCATTCTCTACCATCTACAAACTCATCTCAAGATAACAAAAAATCATACTCATACATGCACTTCTCTTTGACATTTCATCAAACAATTTATGTGCATACACAAGTTCTAAATTGGCTACACTTCTACTTCTCTTCTAAGCCACCAAAATTTGGAACAAAATTCTCTAAGATTAACGCCAAACCTGTCCAGGATATACACTCCATAAATTCTACTCCAATTCTTCCATAATTCATCCAAACTCTCATCAAACATCAAGTATACAAGCACTACTTCTCATGGATAAATTCTAACAATCATTCAACATCCATTCCATCAACAATTCTTCACATATAAGCACATACATGCATAAAAGAAATTCTCTACACAATATTACTCCAATCATAACTAGAGTTAGATTTACTTACCTTAGATGTGAGCAATCCAACACTTTAGTAGTCTTCCTTAATCCAACCCTCTTTCTCTTAAATCCTATAAACACAAATCATAAGAATTTAACACTTTAAAAATTAAAACTCATATCTTAGTGCAAGGATCTTACCTAAGGATGCTTGAGATTGAAATTCCACTAAAAATAACCCAAAATCTATGAATTTCCCTTGAAAAAGAATTGAAGAAATTGAGAGAATTTGGGGATGAAGGTGGCGTGAAAGAGGAGAGGAAATGGTTAGGGTTTCATTCTTCAACTCTTAATATAACAAAATATTATTTATAGTTTCCCATTTTACCCTTGCACTTTCTATGAAATTTCATCTATGTCCCTTAGTCAATTACCATAATGCCCTCATTTTTATTGCATTCTCCATGAAATTCTATCTCTTTTCACTCCCCACATTTTCAACTAATTATCAGTGAAAAGACCATTTTACCCCTAATGAAATTTTAAGGGATTTTCTTCACACTTGTTCAAGATAACTTTAACAAAATTCAACTAAGTATAAGGGCATAAGTGAAGCTATGTACCTCGATGTGGGCGTTACAATTATATTCCTAAGTTTTTGCCCTCCACATGCTATTCTAAAATGCATATTTCGATGCAATAGCAGTCCATCAAAATAGATGTTGAATAACACTAATTGAAGCTATATTATGTAAATTTCAATGAAAACCTGCAAAATATAATACTTGCGGAATAGGTTCCTCCTCCACCACAATTTTGCAGAGGTCTAGCCTAAAAAAATGAGCACATAAATGAAGCTATATTATGTAAATTTCAATGAAAACTATGAAGAAAACATATTTGCATTAATGAGAGACAGAAACTTACATATGGTCAATACAAATCAATATTACCATCCAACATTATATTCCTAAGTTTCTACCCTCCATATGTTGTTCTGAAATGCATATATCGGTACAATAGCAGTCCATTAAAATAGATGTTGAATAGCACTAATTGAAAACCATTTTGTCAGTTCGAGGGCTTAGCAACTCCTTTCCTTAAATAACCTTCCAACAGATCAAAGATTTATCAAATCAGATCCGTTTGATATTTTCAAACAATTTTTAAAAAATAAAAAAATCAATAAAATCCCACAACACAACACACATAATGTCACATTTTTCCTCAAATTTCTCACCATCCAAACACTAATAAAGTAAAAAAAATTAGTAAAACGCCACAACACAACATATACAATGTCACATTTTTCCTCAAGTTTCTCGCCATCCAAACACTAATAAACAAAATACAAACGAAAACAGAACAAAAGAAAAGAAATTACCAAGTCCTAGCTCAGTCTCTTACCTTCCACTATACTTTGACTGTGATTTTGTATAAAAAATTAACCCAAAAAATCCCCAACAAAAAACAGATAAACAAATACTCGGGAGATGGCTCCCGGTCTGATTGCATGTCATCGACTCTCCATCATCGTCGCGGTAACTACACGTCCAATTCAATTCGATCAGCTCATTTATCAAAGAAACCTTAGCTTTCAATACAAATAAAAACCAAGAAAAATAAGAAAAAAAGCAAAGAGAAATATAGAAAAATTACGGTTCTCTTATTCAGTTCAGATGTGGAGAAGCAAAGGTAGAAATAAGAACGACTCCTCTTTTAGCCAATTTGAAGCGTTTGTATGTGAACGTGAATGTGAAGCATTTGTGTTCATGTAAAATTAATCAAGTTTTAATTAGACCTTTGAATGTCCAATATGTGTTTGTAACACTAAAAAATATCAAACACCAATTACATTAAGCCACATGTAACAAAAAATCATATACATCCACATGTCCACATCATCACCAATCACATGCAGTTAAATGTAAAAATACCACATCATCAGCAATCACATGTAGCCACATGTTGGACAATCTTTCAACATGTCAAAATGAAGTAATTCCAAAGCTTAAAAAATCCTACATGGCAATCAAATAGGGTATGCCTTAGGATTATATAAATATGTAGATAGACGAGGCAAACTGATTAATCATCCAATTACTAATTTATTTTTATTGTTGTTATCTTTTTTTAAGTGAGATGATAATTAGTATTATTACATTATGTTGCAGTCCACATAGAGTTGCACTCAATAAAAATCCGATCGTGAGGCGTGAGGGTTTCAAATTTCCATTATGAATCAATGACAGTGCACTGCATGGGTTATAAACTTGTATCAAAGCAAATTAAACTCCATAATTAATTTATAAATTGGTAATTCTAAAGCTTAATTTCTTTCATCATCCTTGAAACTACAGAGAGGTGAAGAGAAGATGAAGCATCATTAGTATTTTCAGGATTATTAATTATTGTCTTTGGCCATAGCTATATATATAAGGGATTTGTTAGAAAATTCATTGAGCTTCTAAACTTTTGAGGTGAAGCAAGCTAAAGGACCCAATAACATGAACACTGTTCTTTTATTGGGGACATTTTGTGAGACATATGGATCCGTCACCGACTTTCTTATCTAGTGTTCTTTCTAAGCCTCGTATTAAATAATATTTATTAATTAAAATTCTTATTAAGCAGGCAAACTAATAAAATCCCTACTTTTTTATTTTGGGAGTAAGTAAGAATTAAATAAAGGACAAAATCAATGTAAAATGATACGAGGGACATACCCCAAACAAAGACAATAAATCACAATCATAACATGGAAAAAACACAAAAGCCACAAACGGTCGAAAAGAAGCACACAGGCTCGCAAAAATAAAACTAATCAGGCAAATGCCATATCAAACGAAGCTAGGCCGAGATGTCAAACTTAGGCGCTAAATCCAAAACCTTGGCTTGAACTAAATCACAAATAGCCGCAACAATATCCCTATGAGAACTGTAGTTAACACGACTGTTCCACAGAAAATAAATTATAGCAGAAAGGACTAACTGTGAAAGAAGGTGATTGAAGTCCCCTTTGTGCCTGAGATGCAAACTAACCCACTGAAGCAAAGAGAACCAAGTGAAGGATGGCCAGACAATGAGTGTCCTGACGGTAACCTCGCCAAACAAAAGAAGAGAAATCACAACTAAAATGAGCATGCCATTGCTGCAAAAAAAATGGACTTACCCCCAAACATCCACGAGCCTCTCTCCAAAATCGAATGCACATCATTCTCATCTCAAAATTTGAATATAAAAAAACAAGAGTCAGTGGACATAACATCTTCCAAACCATCCACTTTCCATGCATGAAAGGTGATCAAGCGGGTAGCATGGAAGGGCGTAAAATATCCCATAAAGAAAATCCACAATATAATGACGCTAATCGACATCACTATCATCAATAATATCATCAGCAATCCAAAGTTGCTCATCCTTGATATCAAGTGTGAAATGAGTACGAGCCTTTGTGACTCTTACTTTATCCGCCCATGAGGAAGATGCTTTTGTTGTTTTTTTATACACAACTTTCTTGTCAATAATTAGCTTCAAAGCTGGTTGTTTTTCACGTGACTTAAAAGACACCCAATTGAGTTTGAAGAGCTTCTTGGAATTCGGTATTGTTAAACTATGAAAAGTTTCCAAAGCCTTACCTGCAGTATCATGATTCTCAAACTCAAGAAACCCAAAACTACTGTTTTTGTAATGAAAAACCTTAGCTCCTTTAGTTGCCCCATTTGCAAAAGCATTAAGCAAATATATATCATCCATCTCGAAGTCTCCAATCCATAAGGTTTGCCCCACTTTTTTGGTAGGTAGGGGCTTCAGAGAAGAGGCATTAGCAGTGGCTAAAGGCTTGGTTTTGATAGAGGGAGGGATGGGGTTGGTGGAGTGATGCAGTTGGTTGAGACATTTCGTTGAGTAGGTGGTGTGGTGTAGTGAAAAAGGTGTTGTTTGGGCAAAAGGAAAGGTGGAAAAGATGGTTAGAAGTGTTTGGAGGTGGGTGGAGATGTGTTTGTGGTGATGGAAACAAGTGGGTAGAGTTGGAAGGGTGAAAGCGAGCAGCCTGTGCAGATTGCTCGTAGCAAAAGGCTACACGCAGGGAGCAACACACGTTGAAACTACTGCAAGCATTGGGAAAATCAGCGAGCAGGTGGGGGGCAATGAAACCCAGACAAAAATGTGTGGAATTTGGTCCACCCACCACTATCCAAGCACTCCAAGAAGCTACACAAACAACAAAAACAAAAAATAACCTTGGAAAAACTTGGTGATCAAAGAAACAAAACCGATTGTCCCTTGGCGAAAACATGTGGTCGATACCGACAACTGGTGAGCAACCAAGGCAAAAGGATACCATGGGTTTAAAGAAAAGATTGAGGCCGATTGAACGGCTACGACAAAACACCGTTTTCGACTGGAAGACAACTAGAAAGGGGTTGCAAAACAACCTTTTATGCGAAAAGCAATGGCTTTTCCGGCAAATGGAGTGACATGCAACGGAATGTACGGGTTTTGAAGAGGAGATTAACAAAAATCCAATGGCGGCGGTAACGCATATTTCAATGACAAAAACCCCAGAAATTGACGGAGAAAATGGGGTTCATTAAAAAGGACAGTCACCGAAAATGAAGAAAATCCAGCCAAAAACAACTGGAAAAGGATCAAACAAAACGGGGAAGAAAGCTCCTTTCATATTGGAGGACCAAATCCAGCAAAAGGGTAGCAAAACGGCCGATAGAGTTCCTGCGGATGACTTGAGTTGAGAGAAAAAAAATTCATGAAATAATTTTCCTCTCTAACCCCCATAAAATCCCAATATACTTCAATATAGGAAGTATAATCATAATTGATTGAGGAATCTCAATTATATGGATAGTGAATGTGGACAGAATATTGTCCACATAAGGAAAAGGATCCCATATTCTCCTAAAATACTTGGAATCCCCTCTCAACTCGAAATCCTAGAGCGACTAAGAAAGTAATTTTATTTTTACCTTAATCTATTTTACTATATAAAGGGGCTAATGACATAGAATGATAGTCAATATTCCCTCAAAAAGACTCGCACTTGAAACACTCTTAATTGAAGTATTTAGCTGCCACTCCTATTTTAACCCTGCAGTCCCGCAGTTCTTTTACAGGGACATAAACAAGCGCTGTAGTGAAAATCATCTAAAAAAGTCAACAAATTGGGGGCAGAATCGTGAAGTTGTTGTGTTATGAAGGCAAGAACAATAGTTTCCCAGTTGAGTGTGAACAAAGAATTCCTTCCGTAAAATTTTCATCTCTTTTTAATTTTTTTCAAACCTTTTGTCGTTAATTTCCTTTTCCATGTCAACTCATTAACAATCCTATAACTATGTTTTTTTTTTTTTTGGGAACATCTAGGGTTCTTTTTGACTTTTGGTTCACTTCTTTTTCCCTATCCTATTCCACTATCAATTCAATTCTATCCAAAGACACCTTTGTTTCAATATTCAAATCTCTTCACAATACAATACTTTTAACCTCCTAGATTTGTTACTTTAACTAAACACCCCAACAATAAAAGTTTATAATTGACAAAAACCCCCCCCCCCACATTACCCAGATTTCGGCCACCACCATCAGAAGGTGGTTGGAATCTGCCGTAATGATGCACTACTAAGTTGGATATGGCCGATAGTGTGCTGATTTGGACTTTTTTCTAGATTCACCTTGGTCTGGCTAGAAAATGCAGATCTATGGTCCAAATCTTTTGGCCATTGACGATGGCCATATCTTGGCCGTTGTTTGGCCATCAACGACATCCAAAAGATCGTTTAGATCTGGTCATTAACGGCCAGATCTAGCGGCCGTATATCTGACTTTTTTAGACTAGATCCATGTGGATTTAGCCGGAAAAGCTAGATTGGCGCATTACCAGCTAGATCCGCCGGTAGTGTACCATTACGCTAATTCTGACCACCTTTTCGTGGTGGTGATTGGAATCTGGCAAATGTGGGTGGATGAGGGTGTTTTTGTCAATTTCTAAACTTTTTTTGTTAAGGGTGTTTAGTTAAATTAACAAACTTAGGGAGTTAAAAATAATCTAATATTTTCAGAAAATGCTATTATAAAATGTTCAAAAATTTCTCAAATATTATTCAACTTACACTTTTTCTAAAAGACTATTCTTAAAATTCCCAAAACAGTGACCCAAACGAGCTCTAACTCTTTACACAATTCATTGCTACAAAAATAGCAGAAAATAAAAAACTAAACTAGTCGTTTAATTAATTAAATTTACTGCAAATGTTTTCCTCATATATCAATATTTTTATTTTGGTTCGTAGAATATATGGTGTAGGATAGTATCTGGGATCATATAGAATCACTTTAAGGGTAAATTAAAAGGGTGTTTCGGGAATATAATTTTATTTAATGAATTTTATTAAATTTGGGTTTTAGAATGAGTTTTAGTGGGGCTTAAATAACACTCCTCCTCTTATTTAACTAGACAATTGCTTTTTTTTTTCCCAAGACTGGACTGAGAGAAATGAGTTTATGGAGGTGCACAATAATTCCTTTTCTAGCTCTATAAAATTCCGTCGTGTTATATTAATAACCCCCCCTATTTTATTGGTTGCCCTATATTAAAGATAATTTTTTTTAAATTCTTTTCTAGATTATTGGTGTACTTAAACCTTTTATTATCCTTTTCTCATGAATAATTAAAGAAATTTTTTTCATTCAGTCTTCAATGAATAAAAAGTTGTTTTCTTCCATAGAGATTAAATATATTTAGTACAACCTACTATTTATTTGAAATAGAATAACAAAATTGAAATAAATATCTTCCCTTCATTATGTTTGATTTTATTATATTTATTTAACTATTGAATTAGATTTATTTGGATTCTTCATCTTTTGTCAAAATACCTTTCAATTATAATATAAGATGGTTTTAAGACAGAAATTACATTTATCCTCATTGAAATAGAAAATGGGGGGCCACTGATAAAATTAATGAGAGCTAAAAATAATTTCCAATTTTCATTGGACAAAATTCCAATAGCTCATGCAAGCCTCGGCTATAAGATAATAATATTCGGTTGTGTAATGTTTAACCTGCAAATTTAAATAATATTCGGTTATGTTTTATTGGACACCAACACCTAATAATAGTTCAAGGATGTTTAGGGATGTAAATACGTTAGGCTCGGGCCATGCTTGCCTAATTAGGTCTAGGTTCCATTTAAAATATTCAAGCCCAATCTTGGGAAAATGCTCAAATTTTTAATTATCCGGACCAGTTTAGTTGAAATAGAAGTTTTGTTTTGTTTTTTGTTTTTATCTGAAATTTCTGGATAATTTCCTAGAGGAGAAATACTTTTTCCCCACCCAAGTTTGCCTTTATGACACTTTTCCACTAGAAAGTTTTAAAATACTATTTTTTCACCCAAGTTAATATTCCGTTACTATCTAAAGCTGATTCTAACGGCGAAAATTCTCTTAATCACACCATTTGAACCTCAATATCTCTTTACAAAACCCCTTTCACTGTGGTCCTGATTTTTTGTCGATTGCTGACCATTACAAAGCTAGAGTTTTTTGTTCTTATTTGATTTTCAGCTGATTTCGATAGCGAATATTTAATCGGTTGCCACCATTCGATCCCCAACCTCTAATCTATAAAACCCCTCTTACTCTGCTCCTAGTAACTCATTGAACGCGAGATAAGATAGTGAAATGTATTTGGGTATTAAACAGAATATAAATTTTGGAGAAAAGTAATATTTAAAACTTTTTAGGTGAAAAAGTGCCATTAAGCAAACCTAGGTGGGAAAAAGTTGTTCTTTTTTTCCTAGAGGCCATTGCTACTTTATCTCATGAAAGGTAGTTATGCAGCTTTTTAGAGGGCTTTCATACTTTTACTTCATAAAAGGTGACTAGATGTATTTTTCTAGAGGGTTATATGTATTTTCACAGAATTCATATAATATAATCATATGTATACCCTTGGCTTTGTAGGGATGTAAAAAAAAGAGGGTGGGGGGGGCCTGCGGTGTCGGGCATAAAGTACACCTAGGCCTGGGGCATACATGGTCCGAGTATATTATTGAGGTTTTGTACACTTACGATTGCCCATGTAAAATTCCCGAAAACCTCCTGAAAATTCAACAATCCTCAAAACTATCCAGCTCTCTTTCATACTGTAAAATCACGAACAATCCATTACAAATTCCTCAAACCCCCACCTATTCTGTAAACTTATAAAAACCCCATTATCATATCAACCAAACCTGGGCCTAAAGCCCGGGTCAGCCGCCCAGGCTTCAGCACGAGGTATTTACATCCCTAAGGCCTTAAGAATAATTATTTGTTCTCTGGTTTACTAACGTTTATGGATGTTGGTTTTCAAATATTATTTTTGATTATTCTCGTTTCCAATACTACATTTGAGTCAATAAACTGGATAGTTAACTTTTGAACTTATATTGAAAGCACAAAAATTTTATGTATTTCAAATACAACATTTGAATCCTTTGACTTACTAGAATACGCTTTTATAAATTAAGCTATAGACTTTAATTGATTCATTTCCTTTTATTGGGGGTTGTTTCTTTTATTAGTTAAAGGAGAATTTCATATGCCTTTTTGAAAATTTAAGATTATTCTGAATGGCTATTTTATTGTTGAGCATTTAGTTGCCTTTAAGAAAAAGTTAGGGTGAGAATACTGTTTTTTTGGTTCTAGCAAGAAAAATATTCAAAGATTTTTGTACTTGAAGATATCTTTAAGCTCCCAAGTCCTTGAACTACTAAATAAGCGTGATTATGACGGTTTTAAAGTATCCTTAAATAAACAAAACTACTTCTATTGAAATGTCATGAAAAATTATAAGACATTTAAAAAGAGTCTTCTTTTACTTAATTACATAATTAATCAAATTTTCAAGTTGAAAAATATTATACAATATTTAGTCTATTGTTTCAAAAAAAAAAAAAAAATCTTCTTAATATAGAGAAAACCTTTTTTTTTAATAGAAAATTGCCACAAAAGGCACATTGGTCTCATATGAAGTTATATTTTCGTAGACCTTTTTTGGAGACCGGTGGACCCACCTATTTAATGGTGGTAGGATATGGTGTCCTATAAGACTTATTAGGGCCGAGGATTTCTTTTAATTAGACCCATTTTGGATGATTCCAATTGGATAACTTAGTCTTAATAAGCAACGAAAATGATTTAAAGGCCTCAAGTCAAAACATTTTCCAAAAGGGAACGAACTTACCCATGCGCAAAGTTGTTATATAGATAAGTAGTAATTAAAAGTTTTAGAAATGACAAATACTTATTTTTTATCATGTTTTACTAGGAATTTTTATCTGCTAAAAGATAAAAATGATAAAAGACTGAAATTCCCACCAATCTCCATTCCCAACGCGCGCCAGCAAGGGTCAGTGTCCACTGTTTATCACTGAATTTCACAGAAAAATGCTAAATCCAATCAAAAATCTATCGATGACGCAAGAGGGTTGTGCAAACGGGCTTACGGTGAGAATGGATACGGAGAAAAGATTTAAAATTTAAAATTTTGTGACTGTAGATAAATTACCATACTTCTTTTAGCAGATAAAATCCCTAATAAAATATAAAAAAAATATTTATTTGTTATTTTCAAACTTTTTGAATATCAATCTATCTTTATGCCAAACTTTGGATAGGTGATGGTCTTTGGCCTTTTCCAAAATTATAAGAAACCCTTTCAAAATAGCATTGCGTGTAATCACATTACTGTCCATGCGTTTAGACATGGAACTA